GACCTGGATACCCCCGCCATCGATCCGTCGATGAGCATCTCAGCTGCTTCGGCAGCGAGAAACCCATACGCTTCTGCGTCCCTGGGGACTTCCGTCACTTCGGTGGCGAGACCATCTGCCAGCGCCGTGCGCGCTGGAGATATTTCCTCCTCCAAGTCGCTAACGATGTTGGCTGACTCGGTGGACTGGGGTGTGCTTGGCGATGCGCCGGCACTGCCTGTCGTGAAGGAGGATGATGGGGGCTGGACCCCCGTGACTCGTAACACCGCGCGGTCCCATCGTGAGCAGTCGAGATCAAATCAGAATAGAAATACCTTGAACATATTTTCTGGTTTAACTTCGGACGCTGAGTCGACCACAGCGCAAGCTGTTGGTGAAATGAGTCCTGAGGACCGCGAGGCCCTCGCCAGGCGCCATGAAGTGTACGCCGCCCAGTTGCGGGCGGGGTCGGGACGCCGCAATACATCCGAGAGGTCAGATTGGTCTGATGTTGAGAATATCAGTACCAACCATCACGAAGAAACCGGACCGGAGAAACTTGCCATGCGCACAACACGCCGGGCTGTGGAGGACGATGACGACCTCGATGTCGCATCACCGCCGGTCGCGGGCTCATCCGGTGCCAAAGTCCATGGCATTGCCTCCCTGGATGGATTTTCCGAGGCTGAGATTAAAGCCCAGAGCGACGTGCTGAATAATTATGCTGAAAGTCATCGCATAATTAAGCAGGAAGGAAAAACGAAACCTTCCGTGAACACGTTGGAATTTTCCACCATGAAGAACCCTTCTTTAAAGGGGAAGGCTCGCAGAAGACGTTCTAAGAGCCCGAAGTCAGAAAAACCCAAAGGAGTTGAGGTTGAACAACCTACCTTTGTTGAACCACTCCCGAAGCCTGTCCGAAAAGAACTTTCACAGGTTGAACTCGCAAAATCCAAAGATTTTGCATCTGCCTCCGACCGCGATGCGAAGAACGATCGCGAGTCTATGTCCGGACTTACTGTTGCAGAAATGCATGCTCTGCTCGATAAGAAAATTAGCGAGTTGAAAGAGCTTCAAGTGAGGCAGAGTGCTAAGAAGCACACGAAACCGTTGCGCGCTTCTTCGAAGCGCGACACGCCCATCTCACGGGGTGTTACACCTGGCAGATTGGCCGCTGAGAATTTCTTTAAGAAATCTCTGCGTGGCACTCCAGCAGGTTCTGCTAAAACCCAACCGCCGCCTTCCGACCCATCAGATGAATCGAGTTCAAGCTCGAGCAATAGCTCCAGCTCCTCGAGCGATGATGGGTATGGATCATCGCGGCGCCGTGCGCGGAGTTCGCGTTTGTCGTCTAAACGCAAACGGGGCAACGTGCGCAAGCAGAGGATGCTGCTGAAGCCCATTCCGCCGTCGCGTTACAATGGCGAACCGAATGCAAACGCGATTCAACGCTTTGCTAGAGAATCGAAGACTTACGTGGAAATGGGTCATGTTCCCGAGGATAAGCAGATCTATTTCATTTCCTATTATTTGGATGGGAAAGCTCTCGATTTCTACAATCAGGTTGTCGTACCTGATGAAGAGCGCTGGGATTTCAAACGATTCTTCGTTGAGTTGTTTGAATTTTGTTTTCCAGTCGACTTCCGCAATGATCAGCGGAAGCGCCTCAGTCGGTGCTTCCAGGGCGCGAAAGATGTCGCCGCTCACATTGCAGAATGGTCTGAGATCTATAATACAATTGGGTTAGATGATACCCAAGAAAAGATTGTTACATTGTTCAACAGTCTTGCGTACCAGATTCAGACTGAGATATATCGAAAGGGTCTTGATCCCGAGGTCGCCAGTTGGGACGACATTGTCAAGGCTGCCGGCGAGGCAGAAATCCTGGTGAAAATAGACCAGAAGAATCGAAGCACTGAGACTGGGTACCAGTCGCAGGAAGACGAAGATCAAGATGAATCAGACTTTGACTACGATGAAGAAGATAACGTTGACGTACCAGATGACGCTGACGCACCAGCGGAAAACCAAGATGATCGCAAGGCATCCGCTCCCCGAAGCGGAGGGCGCGTTGAGACGCCGCGATCGCGCGAGACAATGCGTGCAGCCGCTGTTGAAGTTCATCCTGAGGATGATCAGCCTCTATCGCATGGACGGCGTGACGAATACATGCGCAAGGGCTTATGTTTCAACTGCGGTGGGCGCGGCCATTTGGCTCGGGACTGTCCGAGTCCCAAGTCAGCACGTTCCACGAACGAAACAAGGTTTGATGCTCACGCGGTGCGAATAGCCGCCGATACAAGCATGCGCGATGCGCTCTATGCCAGCACGGAGGTTCTGGAAACGTTCCACGTCGGCAGCGTGCGCTTTGATGCCCTTCTCGAAGTCGTGGAGGGCGGGGTGGAGCCCATGGAATTTTTCGATGATTTTAGCGCGGATTTTGACGCGTTGACTTTGGGTTCCGACTTCGAGACTCAAGTTAACTATGATACCGATCCCGACATGCCTTCACTTACCGAAGCGATAAACGATAACGATAACGAGTCGATGAAATACGATGGCTCCGAGAACGCACCTGGCGAAGAAATCCGCGCAACCAAGTTAAACTTGCGCGCTGTCGTCGACTTCCCGCATGAATTGTTTGCCGGTCACGCACCAGACACAAACAAATGGAACATGGTTGGAGAGACGAAAGGTCTGCTCACCGAGTCTGGAAGACTTCTAGCCAGTTTCCCGAGCACACCAGAAGTTTCCCACTGTGCATTCTTGCATCAGAACACGAAAGACGACCGGCGGTTTGGGCCCGAAACTCTGACATCCGGAATGGAGGGCAACAGTACCACCAATCGCTTGATGAGCGACTTGGAAGCGTTGCCAGCGTACAACGCCAACAAGGCAAGAGGTGGTGGAAGCAAGGAGAAAGACGCGAATGACGGCTTGGCACAGCCTCCTGTCATTGAACCTGATCCCGTCGATCCCATTGATCCGTCGCCGCTTGTCGTGCCAGCTTCCGCGGAGCCAAATTGTGCGGTTCGTGCCGACACTGATTCGCTCAACGAACACGAGCAAGCTCATTCAGAACTCCTGAGCTGGGCCTATCACTTGCCAGGAACTCTATTCAAGATCAATTCTGGCCACAAATATTTCTTGATGCCCGATTGCGCTCCAGACGCGCGCCAGATTTCTACTAGAGATTCCAACACCGAACATGACGTGTAGATCGTCGTGTAGCGACGACCTGGAGGGCGGATGTAACGAGTGAGTTTTTTATTTAGTTGTGTCGAGGATTACCGAAAATCCGTTGAGACTCGGGCACTTCAATGGCTGCAACATGAAGTTGACTCTTCAGTTAAGCTCTACTTGCTGCACGGCCGCCGTGAACCTCAAAAGGACAAACCTGCCGTTCAAAAGACTTGATTTCTAAGGCATTATCTGTTCATGGTCAAGACACAAGAGCATCGCGAAGCATTGACTTCAATTATGCTGTCTACCCATCAACTTGCCTTGGAAAAACTGCGGCACGTTGATCATGCACTGCAACCTGTACCCCGTCACCTGCGCTTTTGCAGATTCTGCAAAAACAAGGTAGAAAGCCCGGAACATGCACTGTTGGAATGTCAGGGTCATCCTGAGATTTTAACACTGCGCAACACTTTTGTTGACAAATTATTCCGAACTGTGCCTACCTTGCAGAGAAAAATGGTTGAACTAGACAATGTTGAGTTCCTAAAAGCCATTATATTTGAGCGCAAAACAATTGTACTTGTTGCAAAATATGTGTATGATGTCCTTGAAGTTTTCTACGCAACGCCCGTGTATCGTGCAAGTTGACTTACTGATCGAAGTGCACATTCCAGGTTTAAATGTATGCTTTTCTCTGCTGTCTAGGTCGTACCGTGGGGCATGGGGAAACCCATGGGGTCTGCAAGTCCGGCTTAGGTGGGAGAGGAAAGTCCAGGGACGATGGTGTAATTACGCTTGCTTGTACACCGGGAAAATTCCTGGAAACCGGCGTTCGTTATTCGGACCGTGCCGTGTAATACTACCTACCTACCTACCTACCTACCTCTCCTTATTTTCTTTGCACGTTCCTTGATCTGGACCCGACGCGACTGACATCGCCACGATCACACTCCTTTGATTCATTTCTCCTTTTGTTTCACCTGTCAATCCGTAGTATATAAGCCTGTGATGTTCGTAGTTAGCCCCTTGGTCAATATTATACTTACGCCACTCACCTCGTTGGACCGCCCACCCACCGAAACCGATTTCTTCGTGTGCCGGAACTAGCAGCCGGCTCACAGGCCGACCGCTCTCCGTCACAAACCGCAACTCTTCAACGTCGGAGTTGGACTAGCCATCTTTTTCTTTGGTCTCAGTTCCATCGAAATCGAAATCGAACGAGTCCGTGCCAGTGGAAGAGGCACAATAGTGTAATCCCTTTTTGTCGTTGGAAATTAACTTGGAGTGAAACCTCACAACCGAAGGATGGTTGCGCTAGCTATGGTTTGCCGAGAACAGCGGAGGTCAGTCTGATTCTCACGGTTCGATGCCGCAACGCACTCTCGTCCACGTCGCAGGAAATGTATACATACGTACATAGATAGGATATGGAAAAATACCGCCCCAGGTTCGATCTCCCACGCCTTGTCGCTTGTTCATTAATATTCAGGCGCTGCTCATCAATGGTCGCTTATTATCAGCTAATTCCGGGATGTATCCCTGGCGGGCGTCTATCGCCGCGGTTGTCAGTGCACAGCGTGAGTAAGTATATCGTATTCTCCAGAGTCCAGAGTCCGGGTGCCTGGCGTCTACCTTACCACCGTGGGTCCTGGCGTTTATCTGCCGGCAACGTCAAGCGCGAGAGGCGACGCGCCGACGGCGTTTAGTTTATCACTCCGGGTCGTAATACCAACCGCGGTATCTTTTCCCAATCACATGTAAAACGAAATTTGCCCTGGGTTCGATTTCTCAGCATGAAGGGTCGCCTACCTGCCCCCGTTGAAAATAGACTGAGGGAATCGGACGTGGTGCATGGCGCACACCCGCTTTTCGTGTGTCGTAAATAAAGTGAACAAAAAATTAAAGCGGGAGGCCTGGGTTCGATTCCCAGCGTCCGAATAAAAGGTAACCATACGACCCTTTTTCTCAATGCGCGCCTCGGAATTATGTATATCTAATGGATATTGACTCATCGTTCGTAGGCAAGGCGTCAAACAACTGCATTTCAACTTCAAGGTCTCATACATGACACTGGTACCTCATCAAAATCGTCTACCTATCTCACTTTGTAATGTATATTCTGAATCGGACGTGGTCTATGCGACGTATCGCGCAGCAGCTCTATATATGTACCTTCTGGCAGCGGGAAGCTGGGTTCGACTCCCAGCGTCCGAACTGGACAAAATGGAGTAAAGCTTTTTTTTGTTCATAGACGACTTGACATCCTGATACTTGAATTCTTAAAGAACTATAAAAGTTTTTATTTTCGTTGGAAATGGAGTGCTTCAGAAGCCTAGATGCGCTATGTACACCGTATACTCGTAATTTGCAACCTGAGCCGAGATCAGCTTAATTCTCACGGTTCGATGCCACACTCCAGTTCATTATTTGATTTACATGGAAGCCCTTTCAAGTATCGACAATCCATTCCCATTCCTCAATCCTATCTCAAGTTTTGTCTGTTGGTGCGCATCAATCGACTGCCAGTTGACTATGTCAGGATCGCGAAGACGAGTTGGCGCTCAGACCTCAGACCCATCACCCTTCGTCCCATCCAGGCATCCATCTAACTGCGCCGAGGCCCGAACCCAAATCTCCCCAGCAGAAGATTGGAATGCAGAGTCTTACGAAAACCTCCACGTAGCGATGCTCTGACATTGGCCTTCAAAATTGGAGCCAGGCCAAAAGGCCTGACAAGCGAAAGGCTGGCTTTAGCTCGAAAACCGACAGGTCATGCATGACCTTATGGCAGTATCTGACACGCATTTTTTGGTTTGGGCCTGGCGAAATCTCAGGCCGGCCGAGCCAAACATAGCTTTTTTGGCTTGAGGCCAAAGCCAGAACATCACTACCTCCACGCACCCGAGGTGCAGGCCATAATCAAACTGGGTGTGCACATATGTACGGCAAGCATGTTGAATATCGTCCCCTCGACCCGATTTCGAGTTCGCCTTCCCACGGACGACGTCGCGGCCGCGGATCGCCCATCTCATGAAGCATCGTCGAAGATTCTCTTTCATTCACGCGCTCATTAATGGTCGCTTATTATCAGCGAATTCCGGGTTCTATCCCTGCGGTGGGCATCCTGAGGGAGTCGGACGTGGTGTAAGGTGCACCCCCGCGGATCGTAAGAGGCCTGACCGATATCTCTAGCGGGAAGCCTGGGTTCGATCCCCAGCGTCCGGATACGAAGTTCGTCGTCCGAGCTATTTCTTACAGACGCAATCTCAGAACGAGTCCGAAGAGGAGGATACTGCACAAAACCTTTTTTTCATTAGAAATTGAGTGCTTCAGAAGCCCAGCTATGGATGATGATCCAACCGAGGGACGCGGTGTGTGGTTGCGCTACGCTTTGCCGAGAACAGCGGATGAGCCGAGATTACCTCAATTCTCACGGTTCGATGCCAGTGCCGCACCGCACTCCATGTCCAATTCACTCGTAATTATGCTGGAAATGTACATGTACACGGATCCTACGGATATGGAAAAATACCGCCCCCAGCTCGATTCCTCACGGCCGAGATCGCCTGTGTCATTTTTTTTCATTCGCGCGCTGCTCATTAATGGTCGTTTAGCGCTTATTCCGGGATCTATCCCTGACGGCGTCTATATGTCACCGTTCTAGCGTTTATCAGCGTGAGTAAATCCTCCAGGACCAGAGTCCAGGTGCCTGGCGTCTACCTCAACTTACCACCATGGGTCCTGGCGTTTATCTGCGAGAAGCGACGGCGTTTACGGTACTAATACCAACCGCGATATCTTTTCACAATGAAAATTAAATCGAATTTTGCCCTGGGCTCGATTCTCAGCATGAAAGCTCGCCTGCCTACCTGCCCCCGTTGGAAATGTGCTGAGGTAGTCGGACGTGGTGTACGGTGCACACCCGCTTTTCGTGGGTCGCAGATGTCATGAGGAGAAAAAATGAAAGCGTGGGACTCATAGCATCCGAATAAACGGAACTGCAAAACCCTCTTTTTCCTCTTCCTCCATCCCTCTTCATTCGACCCCGTTCCTTCGGTGCGTAACTTCAATTTATTCAATGGCCTCCGCTCTTCGAGTGAGTATTAATTCAGGATAATTGAACTTGAGAGAGCCGACGTGAACCCAGTGACTCATGGTGCTGTAAAGGGATAGAAACCGAAAGTCCGCGGGAGCTGGGTTCGACTCCAAGCGCCTGAATAGGCCATTAAAGCATTTACTACTTTTTTCCCACCTCAGTCCATCCCTCGGCCTTCAACCCCGTTCTTCTTGGCACGTAATTTAATTTATTTGGCCTCCGTCCTTGAGTATTAATATCCACGGACTATTGATACTTGAGAGAGCCGACGTGAACTGACTCAACCAAAGTGATTGGTTTCATTTCATCCTTGCCTTGAACCTCACATAGCAGGGTTCATATGTGAGGAGAACTCGGACGTGGTGCACGGTGCACACCCACTCACTGTTAGCTAAGCTTGTCTTTATCCAAAGTAGTATGTGGGAGGCCTGGGTTCAACTCCCAGTGTCCGATCAAAGGGCGAACAGAGTTTTGTTGCGCCTTTCCTTTTGACTTCAACATCGCAGTCCATCTTTGTTCATCTTCTGCATTTTTTTTTCAACTAGCTTGGTTCAACGAAGCACCAGGGTTACGTGTAGCAGCTGTAGGTGTGTCTTTGAATACTCATCTTGTGTATGCAACTGGGTTTGGGGTGTTGAACGGCCGCAGGAAACGCAGTGTAGCGGCAATGATCGAAATTGCAAAATATGGAGTTCGAATCTCGTGTCGCCACTATACGTCATCTGGGTCGCTTGCCCGATTTTGCACGAGCTGGTTCAATTTCTTGTCCGTGTAATGCTACCTACCTAACTACCTACCTTGGCGAGTTCGCCGCATTTTTCCGAATTTAAACATGCCGAGCATAACCACTCGGCAGACACTACGCAATCATCCTGTTTTCGCCTTTAGCTAGATCGACCTAACTCGAGCTCTATCTGATTCCAGTAGTCTCACTGCCAGCCGACGATGACGCCCAGCAAGGTGTGAAAGCCTCGAGCTCGTCCTGATGATTTGAGAAAAAAGGTAGATGGATTTATGCGTTATCTACGCTCCTGTTCCTACGACCGTTGTCAGAATCGCTTCTTCCGTATGGCGGTCAAAAATCATTTTATTATACATTTTTGACAGCTAAACGGAAACGACAGACGTTTTTGATTTTCGAGCACAGTTCGGCATGAGGTGTTGAACGCGTCACAACTCCACTTGCCGTCCACCGCCTACGAACGCTGCTAAGTACTCCGGATCCATTGCAATATGCAGGTTAGGCGGCTTGTGCGTCGCTTCCCAATATGCACCCGTGGCTTCCACCTCATCCAGGTCATCGTGGTCCGGCTCCTCTGGGTCCGGCAGGGACGTTTTCTCCGCCTCGTGAACAAGAAAAGCTCATTCGCTACGACCCGCAGTCAGAGAAAGCGTCGACAAGCGGCGTCTTGTTCCGATTACGAGGACACTATTGTTCCGGGGCCGAAGCTCCCGCCTGCCGAGACTGGGGGGGGGGGGTAATGGACAGCAGAATCAAGAGCGTCCGCCGTCTTGAATATTATCCCAGCCTGTTTTGTCCCTGCTAAGTCTACGCAGTAGTAGTTTATATGATTCATCTCTGCAGTGATTTACATTCTCCGGGAGAACAAAAATGAACGGGAAATGACTCAGTGTGAGCTAAAAATTGGTGGCGCCTGCCGATGTCAGCCGAAGTTTGCTTGAAAATTGAAAAACACCGTTTAGCTGGAACTCAAAGCGACCGTTCCGAGATCCACGTTGGTTGACAGGTCTGTGGATAAGACTCAGGATAATAGATTGCTCAGCTAGGTGGTGTTGCTCCAATCGAGGACCGGTCTGATGCCGGTCAGACAACGAGAAGAGCAAGAGAATTCTGATGAATTAATACGATAGCTAGGTATTTTATACATGTAGCAGTACCGTATAATCTGCCCAGGAATAAATAGGAATACTAAGTAAGGAATAGTCGAATCATCGAAATGATTCGAAGTAAGTCGAATAGCGAGTCAAAGGTAGGTAGGAACAGTGTTCGCCCAAAGGGCTAAGCCCTTAAAGAGGCCTTAATTAAGGCCTTAAGGATTTTTTGGCCAGGCCTTAAGCCCTTAAAGAGGGCTTAAATTATCGGCTATCAGTTGTATATAATCGAATTCAACTTGTCGTCGGCTACCTTGGTGTGTCCCTCAGCTACTTCAGGCCCTCAGAAAGCTTACCCTTTCGAGTTTCACGGGTGAGAAAATTATTTGCCTGCAGATTTTTCCCAACTTGGCATAGTATTGTGATTGTAAGGTAGGGACCGTATGCCCACTCGCTTCGACATGGACAGAGCAGCTTGCCACGAGCTTAAAAAGTCTACAGCCAAAGCTCAAAGGAGCCCGAGAGGAAGACCAACCACGAACTTTTGACCTGCCCCAAAATGCGTGAGAAAATACTCTTAAGGGCTTAAAATGCCCTTAAATTTAAGGCCTTAGCCCTTATTAAGGCCTTAAGAGCCCTGGGAACCCGATTTAAGGTCTTAAGGGCGAACACTGGGTAGGAATTATTTATGAATCATATCAGAGGTCATATGAACGAAGAAACCCTTGCCCTAATTTATTCGTGATGACCAGGTGAATATCTGAGACATTTAGACGGAAATGGGGAGGTGGGTCGGGCTGGTCGGAAATACCGGGGAGGACATGTGCCCGGGCCGCTAGTCAAAGTTTGACCACCGCTCTCGTCTCCGTACCAACACCATGTCTGGAATCGAGCGCCTCAGTCTACGACTACAGCCCCGAGGCGGTTACCCGCTACCTGCGCACCCAGCAGCGCATCGCCCGCTGGACAGCCGATACCGGCGCAGTTCCCCAGGTCGATCCCTACGCCCCGCCTACCCCCGCCCAATCCGCGAGTGCCCCGCTCCCGAGGGATCGGAGGCGCACTCGGTCCTCGGATAGGGATAGAGACAGGGACGGCGGCGGACGCCGGCACCGCTCCCCGCCCCCGCCCGCCCCTCTCCACCTCCTCGCAGCGACCGATCCCGACCCGCTCGCACACCGCCCCCCCGCGCGGCGACGTCTACGGCGTCCAAGGCCCGCAAGCCGCGTACCCCCCGCCGCTCCCCGGCCCGATGCCCATTCCAGGCAACAACAAGCCCTACTACCCCGCCCCGCCCGCCGGGTACTACCTCCCCCCGCAACCGCAACCGCAGGCGCCCCCGCACCGCCGCTCGCGCTCCTCCTCGCAAGCCCCGCCCCCGTTGTCCGCCCAGCAATCGCACTCGCGCTCGCGGAGCTACGCGCCGGCCCCGCCGCCGCCGCTGCGCTCGAACTCGTACGCGTACGGCGCTGCGCCCGGGTACGCGGCGTACCCCTCCGCGCAGAATCTGCCGCCGCTGCCGCCGGGGTACACGTACGCGTACCCCGCGCCGCCGCAGCAGCCCGTGCGGAGTCCTACAAGGGAGGTGCCGTTGCTCAAGCGTGTTTTTGGGTTCGGGGGCGGGGGCGGGAGTGGGAGGCGGACGCCGAAGAGGGGGGATACGTACTGAGGCACGGGGGGCAGCACGCGGTTTGCGGTACGCCCGCCTATTGGCTCTTTCCTTGCGATCGCCACCTGCATCTCCGTTACTCTCCGTTCTTCTACCTTCAACGCCACGCCACCTACACGCACACCGTAACCTCCCTATAATTCCACCACACACCTACACTCCACCCATACACCTAAAATCGACCCCACGAATACAACCACCCACCGCACGGCGCCCCCTCCATCATCATGTACCGACATTTGTCTCCTTGTATCCTATACAGTACATACATACAACTTTGAATTCTACGCATACGTTTTGTTTCCTTCTCTGCGTTTTCTTTGCGTTTTCTTTGCCTCCGGTGGGCGTCGCTGTCGGAATTCGTGAGGGCCCTCCCTCCTTCAACGCGTGGTTCATTCCTGTTAGTTTAGCACCTCGCTCTCCGCATATTTTTCTCCGCTAGCTTGATTCAACGAAGCACCTCGCATCTGTAGGTGGGTCTTTTGAACACTCATCTCGTGTATGTATGTACTAAGCCTGGGGTTGAAATGGGGTTGGGACTTGGACGTGGCGCACGGCACACCCGCTCACTTTGGAGGGAGCAAAATGTCGCAATCAATGCATGCGGGAGGCCTGGGTTCGACTCCCAGCGTCTGAATAAGTTGTTCAATTGTACCATTTTTCCTGTCTCGACATCGCAGTCCATCCCTCAACCTTCACCCCTCTTCCCGGCGTGTAATTAAATATATATTTGCCCTCTGTCTTTGAGTCTCAACTCAGGATCATTGAATGAACTTGACTCGACCGAAAATGATCTGCCCCATTTCATCCTTGCCTTGAACCTACCATAGCAGGGTTCGTATGCAGAAGAGGAACTCGGATGTGGTGTACGGTGCACACCCGCCGGTAATGAATTTTATCGTTATATAATGCGGAGAGGTCTGGGTTCGACTCCCGGCGTCCGAATTTTCGAACACAATCGTTTTTTTCTTTCTCCTCTTCCCTTAACCTTCAATCCCGTTCTTCTCGGCATGTAATTTAATTTTAACAATGGCCTCTGTTCTTTGAGTCTTGATTCATGAGAGTCATTGAGCGAGCCAACGTGAGCTGACTCAACCAAAGTCACGGTGATTGGCTTGATTTAATTCTTGTCTTGAACCTACTATTTGAGACCCCCTATCTGGCCACCCCACCTAGTTAGCCACTAGAGATCTAGAAGGCCCAGGCTTGACAATTATGACTGAGCACTCTATCCGAACAGAGTACTTGGGCTTTAGGCCATTGCTGTGCATGGCAGAACGAGTCTGGTTATTTTTCAACCTCATACTCTCATTGTAAAAACAACATATCTGCAAGAACATTACACACGGCTCAAGGTTCGCTTGGTCGACGCTCACGCGTCGACCAGCTCACGTTGAGCCTAGGATCTATTCATATTAGTGTCAACTGAGACTGAATGTGACAAATACAGGCATGAATGGATTTATTTTCTAATTATTTAATTGTTAATCGGATCAAGACGGATGCGAGAGTAATTTAAGTAAGGTTTACACGCGATAGTTATTGATTTTTTGGCTCGGATCAACCAGTTGCAGATTCACCATTCGGGTTTCAGACCTGGTTCCTAAGACAGTACTAGGAACATCTAATTATAGGCAGTAAACATTTTGTTTTTACAGATTTATGGTTGACATGATACCGCTTCTGGCATCTACATATTTTGTAATTTAGACCAACACAAGAGTATTTGAATCGGAAGAGCAATCTGAGAGGGCTCCAGGATTCCTCCACTTGTCATCCTGTCTCCAGGAGCCGAAGAATTGAAGGCAAAGGAATGTGGAAGGAATGTGGGACAACGGCAGAAACTCACGAAATTTTCTCGAGTGAGATTGTGCTGAATGCGTCAGGTCAAGTCAAATATTCGGTATTGTGACCGGGAGAATGAGTGTGCAATATCGAGATGACTAAGGGAGGAGGCGACAGCAGATTCCGAATTTGATGTACAAGTCAAACAAATTTTCTCCAATGATCTTATGGCAAGTTCGCGTTCGACCGAAATCGTGACCGACACCGAGACAAAATCGGACGATGATGCGGAAGAAGGTGGGGAGTGCCGTAGGACGTGGTAGACCTGATGACCAAGTCATGAGAATTTTCTCGAATGAAATGGATTGGAAATGGACCAGAAATTCCGCGGAGATGGAGGTAAGCAGGGAATTGCTGAAACCATGTCCATGACTACGAACACTGGGGGAAATGAGAGTCGGGTGAAATTCGGATGGTCCAGGGAGTGTATGGGAATATCGCAGTCTCGAATAACTTACAGCGAAAATTGCGCGGACCCGGGTAGAGCCATGAATTTTCGAAAGAAACTCGCGTGGTGAAATGCGGGCTAAACAATAAATCAGGATGATCGGGAGAGGTAAACCGAGAGGGAAAAATGCGATGAGAGCAATGATCTGAAACGCAGCGGGATTATCTGCAATATAATCAATCTACAGTCGGAATTGCGCTCAATATGAGATTGGAAGAAGGATTTCCGGATAGGGAAGGGACGTTGCAAGCGGTCTGCAGCACAAGGAGGATGACAGCTCATAAATGAATGAAGGAGCGATGGAGATGGACTTGTCGACACGAGATAGAGGTGAAAATGGTCACAATGATGGGCATTAGGTGCGCGGGAAGTCCTTCGCCAGATGTCGCGTGAGCAGCATGCGAATTCAACTTTTCCGAAAAATCGACGTGATGGGAGGAAGAATGGCGCAAATTAAGCACCATGAACTGTGGCCCAAGAAGAAATGCAGGACGTGCAAGGATTGGGAGTAAATACTCCCCCGAATCTAGAATCTGCGACGAAGAGTGAAAGACTCAAAAAAGTCTGCTACAACGAGCCAGTGGGTGAATTGCCCGATGAAATCTGGCCGCCACAAAGGCGAGGGCTTGAATCACCCCCATGGCCAAAGCTATCAGCTCCCTGTGGAGATGCGAAAATCTGACCATGGATTGAAGTCCCAGAGATCCGGGTTTCTGCTAGCGCGGAAAGATCAAAGCTGCGGTGACATGCACGGCCGTACCCAAAAATTCCGTGAAACGGTCGGATGGATAGGATGAGATCGGCATGCAGAAGATATGTGGATCGTGTTTATGATGAAGCCGATCCAAATTGGTGCAGAGGGAATGTACCATCTTTCCTGCCCCGGACAGAGGTGAAAATGAAACTGACCGGATCCCCGTTCAAGCGAGTGATAGAATGAAGTCAAAGAACGGGATGGGATTCCTTGATCGTCTGAAAGAGCAAAAAAAATATATCTCATTTTCGCCGGTGAATCGTCAATGCAGAGATGGACATGAAGCAAATCTCACACTGCACAGAGGGCGGACCGACTCGGAGGAAGAGCACCCCAGCTGTCTGCGTGAGAGTCTCAAACGCGACGCTAGGATATACTGGGTGAGCGGGACAACAAAGGGAAGGAAGGTGAGTGTTGGGAGTTCATCCCTCAGGCTGGCAGGCTGGAACACTGGCAGTGGATAGATGTGGTATCAGTCGATGGTTGTACGGGCCACTGGTACGCAAGATCCGAAGTTGGGAAACTGTTTACCTTTCCACGGATCCGCGCCCACTTCCGAACACACACCGGCACAGGAGTGCATGAACCGTCATTGAACGCCGAGTATCAATCAATCAGCTGAGTTGCGGCAATTTCCGACATCACGTCACAAAACTGCCGACATCGACCAAGACCTCGACCGGACCCGGGACCTTGCTGGATGACCCACCGCGCCGTTGGGAGGTGCATCAGACATCGCCGGGATATGATGGTGTGCACAACCCAGTATCATAGTCATATTTCAGTATTGAAGCAGGCCGCAAGGGCTTCACAATAAAAAGGAGAAAATCAACAATTTAGCTGACATGAAATTCAGCCCAAGAGAAAGGCAGAAAAGTGCTTGAAATTGGAGGACAGACACATCGGAAATGACTAAAGGACTAAAAACCTGCCATATAAGGGAATAAATTTCAATGAAAATTACCTAAATCAGTAATGTATCCAACACGAATCATCTACGTCATCGACGATTTCACTTCAGCCTGGCGCAAAAATGCTTATAAAGACGAGTCTAAAATTACCATTTTAGGACTCGTAACGACCTCCAACGGAGGTCCAGAGATGGGTTGATCGAACGTCACGGCATCGCGGATCGGAATCCGAGGCGTGGGGACATCAATTTCTTGACATCGGACCACTCGCCTCACTTGCCGTAGCCATTTCTTCACCGTTTCTTCGTCGATCCACGACTTTGGGGACTCGTTCTGATCCCCCGATGCTGGGCTTCTGTCTTTGATGCTACTGGATAGCAATGGCCTCCACTACTCTCTTTACACACTCAGGGAAACACAACTGCTTTTCTTTAGTCAGCCGTGCTGGCCACCATTGCGGTACATGATACCAACATGCTATCGGTCTGGAACCTTACACAGTACTTCTCACTATCCAACCCTTCATTCTGAGAGGTATTTCGAAATTTTATACACACACCTCTGATGGCTCTGCAGGTTATTATCTCAAATCACCCAGTTTCAGTCTCGCCAATAGTGAGATTTTTTGGAGGAGCTACGAGCATCTTGGAATGGAGTTGGATGCTCAGGTATGTCGCAATACCTTCCATTAAGCAGCCTGGATTCTAATTTGGCCCATCTAGATGTCTGTTCCACCTGTAGGATGCTCATTCATTCCATGACCCCAATTTTGGTGTTTCACAATCCGTCGGACCTAAATTTCCGGCCTTTCGTATGCCCCATGTGTACACCAAAGCTGTGTGAGATAGTTAATATGATCCCCCTCTATGATTTAGTACACAAGTGGCAGGCATTTGAGACCTCAGGCCATTATTTAATGGGGTGGCCAACTAGCCTGTTATTTGGCCATGTTGCACTGCTGCACAAAATAAATTCACTGCGAACTCAAATGTTGGGATATTTGGGAACTTAGGCTCTTGAATCCTTCCTAGGAAGCATGCCTTCATTCTGACACAGTTGGGCGCAGGGAGGGTCAGCGGACAGATTGAGATCGAGGCATGAATGCATAGGTGGCCAGGTAAGGGGTCGAATATAGTAGGGTTCGTATACATGAGGGGAACTCAGATGTGGTGCACGGTGCACACCCGCCCATAATGATGATACTGTGCCAGCAATGTATATGTAATGCGGGAGGCCTGGGTTCGACTCCCAGCATCCGAATACAGGCTACCTGATTAACCTTTTTTTTTCTGCCTCGATATCGCAGTCCCTCCCTCAACCTTCCGCCCCGATCTACGCGGTGACAGTGCGCAATTTAATGTATCTGGCCTCCGCTCTTTGAGTTTGATGCATGATTGAGCGAGCCGATGTGAACTTGACTCAACCAAAAGTGAGTGGCTTGATTTCATCCTTGCCTTGAACCTATCATAGCATGGTTATAGGTAGGAAGGGAACTCGGATGTGGTGCACGGTGCACGCCCGCACACAATAGTTCCCAGCTGTGTTTCTTTATATGTATGCGGGAGCCCTGGGTTCGACTCCCAACATCCGAATAGTCTAAGCTGGTGTTCCCTCTTTTTTCGTCCTCCTCTTCCTTCGCCCACAACCTTCAAACCCGTTCTTCTCGGTGCTTAATTCAATGGCATCCTCGAGTCTTAATTCATAATCATTGATTGAACTTGAGCCAGCCGACGTGAACTTGACTCGACCAACGTGATTGGCTTCATTTCATGATTTTGGTTTGAACTTACTATTATGTAAAGCAAGGTTCGTATGTGTGAGGGGAACTCGGACGTGGTGCACGGTGCACATTGACACCCGCATACTGTGGTATATGTCGACCAACAAAGTCAGCAGGAGAGCTGGGTTCGACTCCCAGCGTCCGAATGAGCCGAGCCGTAAAGCCCTCTTTTTCCTCCCCCTTATCCTCCATCCAGCCCCGATCTGCGCAGTGCGTAATTTATTTCTCCACTTTTTGAGTGACTATTATGAACTTGCGCGAGCTGACTCAACCAAAGTGATTGTCTTGATTTCATCCTTGCCTTGAACCTAGTACAGCAGGGTTCATATGTAGGAGGGAAACTCAGATGTGGTGCACGGTGCAAACCCGCATACTGTGGTGTAGACCGTGAAAAACCGAAAGTCAGCGTCGGGAGAGCTGGGTTCGACTCCTAGCGTCCGAATGACCAACTCCATTTCTTTTTTCTTTTCCCTTTACCTTCCTCAACCTTCAACCCCGCTCTTCTCCGCGCGAAATTCAATTTATTTGGCCTCCGCTCTTTGCGTATTGGTGCATGTTGATTGAACTTAGCGAGCCGATGTGACCTTGACCAAACCAAATTGATTTGATTTCATCCTTGCCTTGGGACAATCACAGCAGAGTGAGTAAATGTGAGGGGAACTTGGATGTGGTGCACGGTGCACACCCGCTCACTTTGGAGGGAGTTTCAAGATAAATGCATGCGGGAGCCCTGGGTTCGACTCGCAGCGTCTGACTAAGTGTTTCCCATTGTTTCTTTTTTTCCCTCATTGATACCGTCTCTTTCCGTGTTTCGTGTCCTTCGTTCGCTGTTTTTCACTCTGATAATCAGATTCAACTCGAAAGTGTCCAGGATTCAACGGCAACGGCTGGATAGAGGTGAGCTCGCTGGCGTTTCTCCCTCGTTCGGCGGAGTCTCACCTCCCTGCTGATGGTCCCAGCGGTGTTTGACGATGGGATGCGGAATCGGACGTGGTGCACTGTGCACACCGCTCACGCTTAGCGCACTGAACTTGATGTTGTGATGCGGGAACCTGGGTTCGACTCCCAGCGTCCGAATAGTCCAAGCTGGTTTTTTCTCTTTTTCCCTCTCCCTCAACCTTCAACCCCGATCTGCGCGGTGCGCAATTTAATTTATTTGGCCTCCACGTTTTGAGCTTCAATTCATGATCACTGATTGAACTTGAGCGGGCCGACGTGAACTTGACTCAACCAAAGTGATCGGCTTGATTTCATCCTTGCCTTGAACTCCACATAGCATGGTTTATAGGTAGGAAGGAAACTCGGACGTGGTGCACGGTGCACATCCGCTCATTGTAAGCATGTTACTGCCCAAGTAATATGTGGGAACCCTGGGTCCGACTCCCAGCGTCCGAATAGGCTGTTCAATGATTCCATTTTTTCTGCCTCGCCATCGCAGTCCATCCCTCAATCTTCAACCCCGTTCTTCTCGGCTTGTTATTTGGCCTCCGCTCTTTGGATATTGGTGCATGTTGATTGAACTCGAGTACGCCGACGTGAACTTGACTCGAACGAAAGTGATTGGCTTGGTTTCATCCTTGCCTTGAACCTAGTTCGCATACATGAGGGGAACTCGGACGTGGTGCACGGTGCACACCCGCTTACTGTGTGGTATATGTGGACGAACAAAGTTAGCAGGAAAGCTGGGTTCGACTCCCAGCGTCCGATTAGGGCGAGCAGGATTTTGTTGCGCCTTTCCTTTTGACTTCGCCATCGCCGTCCATCTTTGTTCGTCTTCTGCATATTTTTCTTAACTAGTTTCATTTACTGAGACACCAGCGTTAAGTGTAGCGGCTGTCTTTTGAAAACTCATCTTGTGTATGTAGCCTGGGTTTGGGGCGTTGGGCGGCATGGTCTGCTTCCGCCCGCAGGAAACGCATTGATCAAAATTGTACAATATGTTGCTCGTGGAGTCAGAATCTTGCGTCGCCATTCTTACTCTCTGTACGTCATCTGGGTTGCTGCTTGCCCAATTTCGTACGAGCCTGGTTCAATTTCTTGGCGAGTTCGACGAACTTAAACATGCCGAGCACAGCCACTCGGCAGACACTATGCCGCCAATCATCCTGTTTTCGAATTCGCCTTTTGCTAGATCGACCTAACTCGGGTCCTTATACGGGTCGGCCAGGGCGGCATAATCTTCCATATTCAATCTGATTCCATTAATCTCACTGAAAACCGATGATGACGCCTCCGGGGCGAGTCGAACACACCGGAAGTAACCCAGCAAGGTGTGAAAGCCTCGAGCTCGTCCTGATGATTTAAGAAAAAAGGTAGATGGATTTATGCGGTATCTACTCTCCTGTTCAACGATCGTTTTCAGAATCTCTTCTTCTGTATGGCGGTCAAAATTTTTATTATACATTTTTGAACTCAAAGCGACCGTTCCGAGATCCACGTTAGTTGACAGGTCTGTGATGCGCCGGGGCCGCTAATCAAAGTGTGCTCACCACCTTCTTGTCTTTGTACCAACACAGGCCCCCGGACACTACCTATAAAGCCTGTCCGCGATAGAGTAAATCAGTGGCCCAAAACGGGCCTTCCTCTGTCCGCCATATAGAGTAAATCAACCCCAGGACGATCTATGTCGGTCCGTCATAGAGTAAATCACGCGCAGCGCGAGAATTTTTTTTGAATGAGTATAGGGCACGACTCCGAGCGAGGCACCGCAAGCACGCTTCCATGCTGTCGGGGCTACCAGAACTGAGCTTAAACATGGGCAATATGCACCGGAAAGCGCCTGCGGCAGGCTGGGAGCGAAAAAAATGAGTCCCGCAGCGCGAAAATCGTATTTTACAAACACTTCGTCCGAAATAGAGTAAAACAGCGACCGAGGGCCGGATTTCATAGAGTAAAACAACGAAAAATTTTGGGAAAAAGCGGACAGGCTTTATAGGTAGTGTCCGGGGGCCTACCAACACCATGTCTCAAATAGAGAGCCTCAATCTCGACCTCCTCGTCGAAATAATGCTCAGGGCATCGAGCATCAATGATAAATTTGCTCTTGCCCAAGTTTCAAAGCTCTGGCGAGCCGTCGCCCTCGACACTCCCCTACTATTAGTCTCGTTTACCAGACGTTATAGGGCAGTCGCTCGCTGCGCTCGCGGGCAGGAGGAGGAGATATATCCAACCGGAGATACCGGATCCACGGAAATTGTTCCGAGGCAGAAATTGATGAAAATTTGATTGGGGAACACTGCCCTATAACGTCTGGTGCAGTTTGGTTGGTAGGGGTGCGATCGTGTCACACTTTGACTCTCTTGTACTTTTCTTTTTCGTTTTCATCCTCCGTTGCTCCGATGGCCATAAAACTTTGAAGATATCATCTGGACGACTCCTGAAGGCTCTGGGCATACCTTGGGCAATTTAATACCATTCATTTAAGGCACAGTGACTTGAGCAATACAGGAGGCCATCATGCATTCTTTGACCCCATTAAATATCCAGACCTTGAGAAAGCGTCCCCAGATGCATTTAATACATATATCATCAGCTCTGTATCATATTCTAGGTATCTAGGAGACCTGTAGAGCACATTGGACCGAAGGACATTTTAATCACACTCTCAAATATGGATACATCACGCGTCCTTCGACCTTCAATTGACTGGGATACTTTAAAAAATCTAAGCCAGTCGTGGTACACTGCACACGGGACGTAATAGCCCTTCTGGTCGATGCATCCATCCCTTTTACCCCAAATTATCGGAGAAATCATGATTCTTGATAGGTATTCGGTGTCTTGGCTCGTCTTGAAGCTGCAGAAGTATTCAATATATCCCAACTAGTCCCTTGCACTCAAAATTTCCTCATATCACACGTACTGTATGCCCTAAAAGTCGCGATGCGTCTGGACTCTGGAGTACGAGTTGTGACGTCCGTGACTTCCATCACGGATCGCATCCTTTACGATCAAACTGCACCAGATGTTAGGGCGGTGATCTCCCGTGTGTTTTGGCATCATTTTCTGCCTCAAATTTAAAAGTCCGCTGATCCCCCCCGCACCGCCCTAACATCTGGAGCCGAGATTACCCTACTATGGTCTTCGGTCATTGGCGGTGACTCCAAGACAGATCGAATCTTAGTGTGGCGGGAAATAGCTCCGGAGCCTGCTTGACCGAGGTAAATTACCCTGGCACTTTGGCCCGGGTCTATTTGACCTGCTTGACCGTGCTAATTTACCCGAAATTTACCTGGGCTTCAGCCGGTCCGGGACCTTCCGGGAAGGGTGAAATTTTGCCGTTCTTGGCGTGATTTAAACTGAACTTCCCGAAACCGACCTGTTCCTTAATAAAAATCCCCCCGGAAGACTTTCGACAGGTCCCATTCTCCTCATTCTATCAAAAATCTTGTCGCGAATCGACCGTCTCGAGGAACATCTTGGAGGCTTTGAGAGGGCCCGAAGGAAGGCATTTGAGGGGAGCAACAACTCAGATTTCAGGCTGGGAAGGCTGGTCAAATAGGGTCTATTTTACCTGCTCCTTTTGGGCTCGAAAAATTTCGGGTTAATTAGCAGCTAATTAGCAAGGCTAATTAGCCGAGGTAAATTTCAGACACCTATTTCCCGCCACACTAAGATCGATATCGTCTTCCACTCATATTTCAGCACAGCGGCTCAACTACCATGCTGCATATCTGTTTCAAATTCTTTCGGTGGGATCGTTGGCTCGAGGACGCGTTGAACGCGCTGGTGCCCTACGCTGCGCGCATCGAAACACTGGACCTGAGATTTTCGGTCACCGTGTCCTTCACGCCTCTCCTTTCCTCCAATATACAGTTTTCCGCTCTCCGAACTCTTCGTCTGCACAACTCGATTTTCAACGATGCTTCATCTTTGGCCCTCTCAGCACCTCGGCTGCGGACCCTCGACATCCAGCGTTTCAAAATAACACAGTTGGAGAGACTACTGGTGCCAAGCCTCGAGGACATCCGGCTCTCCGAAGCCTGGGAGGGCATTGGAAGGCTGTCGGACATAGCTGCGTATTGTCCACTGGTGTGGCGTGTGGTACTTCAAAGTCACTATCGCGCGGCAGAACCCGACTTCCAGGTCCTTGTGCGGCGGCCAATGGCCCCCGCTCTGCGCGAATTGGAACTACGGTTACGTGATGATGAGGAGTTGGACGTGTCCTTCAGATTGGGTTTTCCAACGTCATCTTAGACACGTTAACGGCTGCCTCACAAAGCGGAAACGTGGACATCCTCGCTAGGAGCTTGTTGCACGGTGTTGGGCCGCTGACTGTCTTCGAATGCATACATGCTCGGGAGGCCGAAGTTCAGGACGACAGCGGGCATATCCGCCGCTTTCAATCCTGGGACGACCCCTTCCATCGCCATAGCTTCCTGTTGCAGGACGTGTGGGGACAATTGTCGCTCCATTACAACCTACACAAAACCGTGCGTACCATACGATTAACTCGCTGGCTGTTGCATGATTGCATCGAAGCTTTCGAGTTGTACCCGCCCCATGTGGAACACGGGATCACGCTTTCCATCGGATTAGGCTTGGGATCGTTTGAGGATTCCTGGATCTCCTCGACCACATCGAGCCCCCGACGACATAAAAGGTACCAGTCTGCGTAGGCAGTCTACAGTCGAGGATGGTGCAAGATTCGGACGCCCGCTTTGTCTTGCAGACAGCATTAGCTGAACGGACAGGGAATAATTGGATAATTTGCGGTCATTGTAGAGCCGAACAGTCTTTCGATTGCCAACAAGTATCTCTAGGTTTGGAAATTCGAAACTTCGCGCCTCCAAAATATAGGCACCGAATTCTGGACGATTAGCCCGTCGAGCTCAAGGACGCATTTCTTTGCGTTGAGTTCACGTTTAATAATTTGCCCTCTGTACTTCCTTCTGCGCTCTGGAACGTTTGCTTCTTGGGAGGAAGTACTAGTATTCCGAGTCAACCTGAATGTGGTTCCAAAGATTGATGGCTCATACCCTGGATAAGCATACCATGTTTATCGTACGAATCGATCTCTCGTTAAGAGTTACTTGAAGCTCACCTGACGAGATCCCCGATCTCCAAGGGGGACCAAAGATAAGAGATTGCCATATGGGGTAGGGGGGGGTCTGGCCGACCGCCAGAAAAAAAAATTGTATGTACTTTTTTTTGGAGCCAGATATCGACACAGCTGCCTCCGGGACTTGCAAAAATGTCTCCCAGGTCGAGCATCAAATGTGAACCAATACCTTGTTACACTGGGATCAGTCCTCACTGATCCTGCTCGTGCCAAACACGGTCGCGGTAGGGTTGATTACCTAAGGAATTTTGCTGCACTTTCAATTACCTAAGGTAATTCCTCGGCCCTGCCGGCTTATGAATATCAGCTGCCACCTCGTATTATCATATCGCGACTTTTTTTGTCATTGGCCCATCGCCTACTCACGCAACTTATACTTACTGTTAAGAGAACCCATTTTGAGGAGCACTTCCCTGAATTCTAAAGATGTCATAGGTAGAGCAAGACAGCAGAAACTTCCTTGAGAAACACATCTGATCGACATGATCGTGGACGTGGATAAAGTGTTCCAAACTGGCATCCATCGCGGAACTACCCATGTGGGTGAGGGGCAACTTGAAGGTGAGGATTCCGGCTCTCATCTCTTATTGTGTTAGTCCTGTAATTCAATTGGGCATGTCACACAAAACTTCCTGAATAATTTGGG